AAAGAAGTTTCTTTTGAAAGACTTGTTCACCTGAAGACAGTATCAGTCTTGTGAGCTCTTCGAGGGAAGACATTCCACCTATCTGTAGGATACTAGCATTTAAATGACTGTTGAATGAATGAATAGGGCTGTTCATTTTCTTCCTTTTTCTTAACTTGCACTAAGTGTGGTTGACAACAGTTGGATGATGCTGTCTGGGTTAGGGTCTGTGTTCTGAATAGCAAGGCTTCCCATAGGAATTGATGAACATTTTTTGTCTATGTAATTATTCTACTTGTAATAATCTCATTAGTAAAAACTGTCAAAAAAAACCCTGTCAAACAAAAATAAAGATAACTATATTAATATCTTGAAGTCTTTTGTACTATTATTGTCTTTATAAATATCCAGTGTTAGCTAGGCAACACATTCATGAATCTTTATCCCTTCTCAGTGACTATTAAAACCTAACCCTGTTATTTCTGCTCTTACTGGATCCCCACTGGTCAGCACATGGGTACACTGTTTAATTTGGGAGCCCATGTGATTTTTGGTTTTTTTCCAGGCTGCTTCAAGAGAAGAACCACACAAGGGGCTAAATTAGCCTCATTAACTACCTTCAGTAGCTTTAAAAGAAAATGTATGAATAATGCCAAGTTTCTCCTAACTGTCTAGAGGGCAGGAGTCAAAATAGAAATGAATTTATTGGCTACAAACTTTTGGAAGAGTTTCTCGTGTAATCAGATTGTTTTCCCCAATGATTCTCAGGAAGGGATAGAGCTAAATGCCACAAGTGACTAGAAGTTTGGAGATGCCTGGGGTTCTTGAAATGCTTGAAAATACACTGGAGCGAGGGGGATGAATTCCTCCTTGGTTAGGACTTTGCTGTTTTTGCTTTAGGGTTCTCAGGTTGCATGTGAGTGTGTTGAGGTGTGTGTGTGTGTGTGTGTGTGTGTGAGTCAGGGGGTGTATAGGAGGGGGCTGGGGGAGAGGAGAAGTGGATGAGCTTCAAGCATCAGGAATTGGGGCCTCAAATTTGATTTGGTTTGTTCTTGAAGTTAACTTCCGATGGACTTCTTTTCATACACTTTTGTTAATGTGTTTTTGAAAACTCCTTATTCTCATGAAATCTTTTGATATTTTATATAGTTCAAGCATGTATGGAGTATTTATTGTCTTTGCAAGTCACTCTGCCTGATTATACCTCTTGGGGGACATTTTATGGTTCTATTTTCAGTGTCCCCATGGATAGAAAGGGCAAGGCAGGCTCACATGTTTCCCCAACATCACCCAGAATGAAAGGCATTCTCTGCTTCTGTTTCCATTCCCTGCTGTTAAGGTCCTCCATTAATGGTTTTGAGTTCAGGTCATGCCACCTCTGGCTAAGGCTGTGGGCCTAGCTCTTAATTTTTGCTTATTGTCAGAGCATGCAAGTTTTTCCTTTAACAGGATTTGAAATTAAAAACAACCAACCAACCAAAAAAGCCTTTTGTTTCTAGTTTCTTCACATCTCATAGCCATTTAGTATATGACCTTTTTGCTTTTAGTATGGAGGTAAAGGGCAAGGGCAACTGGGAAAGCCAGCCTTTGAGCCTGTAGTTAAAGTGTATACTACAGGCATGTTTTGTTTGGCAAGCAGGGATTGCCCTCTCCATGTCCCATCTCCCTCTCAAAAAATTTTAGATTGGAATGCTTTAAATGGAATACAAACTCCCTTGTTTGTCTTGAGTTGCATTACTCCTTACTGTTGAACTGGTTCTCCTAGGGTCACTAGGAAACTCAGAAAAGTTAATCCATCTGTCTAGGGTCACATATGTCAAGTTGGCAGGAGAGTTGGGGCTCTAACCAAGACTTCAGGCTTCTGATACTGGTTTCTTTCCTCTATTTCATGCATTATGGGGGGACTATAAAGTCAGTAATCCTTTCTTTCATCTTTCAAATTTCTTATCTTCACTTTCTTTTTGTTTTCCTCCATTAAAACTCTTGGTTATTGTCTGTCTAGTAATGAGATACACATGTTAGAGTTCAGCATGAGAAGTAGCAGCAAAGTATTGGGATGTCCAGAACCTTGCTGTTGGACTCTTCTTGACACAGAGATGCTGGGGAGTCCTGGGTCCCTCTGAATCTTGAGATAGATAGTCTGCAAAAATTAGCATATTTCCATTGAAGTATTCAGTTGCTGCCACACATTCAGAGATTTTTTAAAAACAATAAGCATACTTCTTGATGCTTTAGTGTCTTTTCCCTTAAGAAGGAGAATACTTAAATTTTGAGGATCTCACTTATCATTTCATATCTCTTTGAAATAGTAGAAAAAATAGATTGTGTTATTTGGGTATATTATTTGGCAAGGGGTAGGGGTGTAATTAAAGTCCATTATAAAATAACGGAAACTTTGGAGTTAGTTCACGTGGAATTCAAATCCTGGCTTCCCCACTGTCTGTGTCTGCAAGTCTCTTTTCCCTCATCTGTATAATGAGGATAAGAGGGTTGTTTGGAGACCTCAAGGAGATAATGTTCACAAAAGAGATAATGCCAGGAACTTAGCATGTAAATATGACTGCTGTTTTATAAGAAAAGTGACTGTGCATGCTAAGTTGCTTCAGTCATTTCCGACCCTATGGATTGTAGCCTGCCAGGCTCCTCTGTCCATGGGATTCTCCAAGTAAGAATGCTGGAGAGGGCTGCCATGCCCTTCTCCAGGGGATCTTCCCAACCCAGTGTTCGGGCCTGTGTCTCTTGTATCTCCTACATTGACAGGTAGGTTCTTTACCACTTGCGCCACCTGGCATTGCTGTTGTGGGAAGGCAATTTTTCACACTGGCCCCTGGCACTTATGTAGGGACCCATGTCTCCTTAGTCCTTATAGAATCATGCATGTACTTCTCCTAGGTATATTATTTCTTTATATTTTAAAATCCAAGTGTTTTGACCTGTTGGTTACTAATTTTTTAAAAAATGTGCTTACTATGGAACATTGCCATCTCTGATGTGTTCATCAGGCCACACACAATGTGCGTTATGTCAAAACACCAAGCTTACCTCATGTCATGAGGCAGTTAGCATTAGTGAATCCAGCAAGGAATATGACACAGGATCTATCAGATGATGTTTGGGCAGCTAGTCTCAGAAAGTGAAAGCAGCAGGTGTTTATTGAGTATTTTGTATGTGCTCAGGATTGTATGAGGTAGGGAACACAGAATAAATACTGATTCTATCTGTTTCTCACAAGACCGGCAATTTTCTGGGGTAAATATTAATAGGTGTGATTGAAACCTGACACTATTAAAGAGTAATAATGAATACTATGTGATTCAGTTGTGTTTGTTAAGTGGATTCTGGTCAGAGCACTGCATGGCCTCCCATAGACTGATGGACAAAGATGCAAGGAAAGCCATACTTACAGCATGGTTTGGTAAATGGGCATAGAGTTTTATACAGGGAGAGAAGAAGAGGGATTGTATGGTAGATGTGTGCATTTCAGTGGTGGCAAGGGCTTCAGGGAGAGGTGACGCTTGAGTAGAGTGAGGATAGAAAATCACATTGTTAAAGGCACTGAGGGAGTCTGGGTGTGATGGAGAACAGAAAAGAACCCTGGTCTGAGTCGAGGGTTTATGAGGTTAATGGTAGGAGAGCAGGCTGGAGATGTGAGCAAGGGATAAGTCATTAGAGATGTTGTGTACCGCGATGAGAAGTATGATTATCAAGGCACTGGCAACCAAGCAAGCAAGAGATAATTATAGCAGTGCTTTAGAATGATCACCTTAGGAGAAACTTCCAGTGAAATGGGTGAGAAATAAATGCTTGAATTAAGTCTTAGAAGGAAAAACTGAATGAATGAATGAATGAATAATAGAGTAAGTGGATGATACTATCAGTATTGAAGGGATGTAGAGAAACGGGATGACATAATGGGAACAGTATTGAAGGAAGACTGTATGATGGAGGAAGATTTGAATGGCTAGTCAGCCAGTCCAGTGACTTGCCCATAGTAGGTAGCCAATAAGCTGGATATTGAATGGCAATAGGATTTATATGAGAGAAGACAGGAAATAATGTCAGGTTATGTAAATGTGTGAGACGATCATGGAGACAAATATAATTGGAAAAGAGTGGTAGATAATACAATTTCATGTACAGATTGGTTGCATATTTTGGAAGGCTTTGAAATGCCACATTGAGGAATATGAACTTATTTTATTAATCAATAGGAAGCCACAGGCGACTCTTAAACAGATATTTTGACATTTCCAGTTTGGATTAGAAATTTGTTCATTTATTGGGCCTCATCATCTTGATTGGAGGAAGATGTGTTTGAGATGATGCTGGTCCTGATTCTTATGTTTAATAGAAATGCCATAGAGCAGCATTACTTTTGGTAAAGTTGGGTGACCTCACTTTGGCTGTGGGGAGACTGTGCAGTAGTACACTGTTGGAAGACAAAGAAAGCTGAGGCAGAAATGAATGAGTGCCCATATGAGATTTTTTGATGATGCTCCATCCCTCTCTAAACTGGCAAATAAAAAGATGGGAAAAACTGCTTGCTCTGAGGAATCTTTTAGGGATAGCAAATACAGTCAGTCTCTTTATGTATTCAGGTTCTGCATCTGCAGATTCAACCAACCATGGATCAAAAATATTCCAAAAACATTTCCAAAAAGTTCCCAAAAGCAAAACTTGAATTTGCTGGGCACTAGCAACTATTCACATGACATTTTATTTACAACTATTTACATAGCATCTACATTCTCTTATAGGTATTATGAGTATTCTAGGTATTATAAGTATTTTAGAAACGATCTAAAGTGTAGGAGATGATGTGCATAGGCTATATGCAAGTGCTTTGACATATTACATAAGGAACTTGAGTATCCTCAGATTTTTGTTAATGCTATAGGCAGCTACTATCAGTGGATCAGAACTGCCCTGGAATTCAAACCCATCTGTCATGTCTGGAGTGGAAGATGAATGAGCAACAGATTATGATGTACTCACAGTGCAAATCAATTTTACTTTTCCAGGTGGAGCTTGCAGAAATCTGCGCCAAGAGTGAACGTTACATTGGCACTGAAGGAGGAGGGATGGACCAGTCCATATCATTTCTTGCAGAAGAAGGAACTGTAGGTGACATTTAACTATTTGGAAATGTCAGCTTGGGAAAGTTCATGCAGAAAGATCCTCAGTTTGTTTCTGGGCATCCTGTTCTATTAGGCTGTATTTTAGGATGATATTTCTTAACTCCTTTGTAATTCAAGTTTATTACCAATTCACCTACTCCATTTTATGTTGATCACCTCTCCCTTAAGCTTTCAGAATTGTACCTCAAGTCTCTTTCCCTCTCGTGTTTAGAGTTTTTTCCTCCTTCTAATTCATTATTAGTATGCAGTTTCTCAACTCATTAGTTACTGGGACTTCTTTTCCCGCTCTTGTCCCAAATCACTTCATCTCATGGCGTTTTCATAATCTCCTGTTGGTTTTAAACCCCAATGTTAGTTCTCTTGCCACATATATTCACAACCCCTCTTTTTTATGATTTACTCTATGGTATCATTTTTCTCTGTCAACATTTTTGGGGCTTTAGTGGTAGGGAGAAGAATGCTGACAGGAAGCCAAGAATGAATTCCTTAGCCAATACTACTTCCCCTTGGCTAGGCTATAACTCCCATAGGCAGAACAGAGGTTTTGGTAGTTGCCATAAACTGCCCATTTCCAAAATAGAAACATACATTTAAAAAAAATCTTTTCTTAGGATTCCTACAGGCTTGGCTATTTTCCAAGAATACCTGGATTTCTTCCTATTAAGAGTATTTGTTGTTGATTCCCCTAAGCCAAAGACAGGAGACATGAGGAAACCTGGTTTAATGCTAAGAAAATACTCTGGGTGTTTTGGATGAGACCTGACAAGTAGACATGATGGCAAGAGTCCTGTTGTTAATAAAAGTTAGGGGTAGATTCTTAACAAAGTCCAAATTCTTTGGGTTTGCAAAGCACTTCATAATCTGACAGTTGGTTTACCAGCCTTCCAATTCTATCATCTCACCATGCCTCACCCCTCAACCTCCAAGCTATAGCTAAATTGCAATACCCAAAACTATTAACACCTTATGTTGTTTTTGGCCTTTGAACTTTTATATACTCTTTCCTTTTCTTGACATTCTATTTGGGTAAACAAATCCTCTGTCTGTCGTACTTTTGTTCATCCTTTAAGACTCAGATTTCCTTTTTTTTTTTAGAGGGGCCTACACTAGGCTATATCTAATGAAGTGCCACAACTATGTGTCTTTGTAACTTCCTGTCCTTGGCTACCATTTTAGCACAACGTGGCAGTGTGTTTGAGTACTTGACTGCTTTTCCCACTAGACTGTAGTCTCTATGAGGGCAGGTACAGTGTCTGTCTTGTTCACTCTTGTGTCTCCAGTGCCTACTAGAGTGTTTGGAAGTCAATAGAGGGAGGGGATGTGTGTATACTTAGAGCTGGTTCTCGTTGTTGTATGGCAGAAACCAACACAGCATTGTAAAGCAATTATTTTCCAATTAAAAATAAAGATTAAAAATATTTGATTTGATAAATGAATGCATTTTTGGGAAAAATTTTTACTAAGGTAAATCATAAATGTTTAAGCAGTTTTTGAATTCTGTACTTTACATCTCACCTGTCACTTTTTTCCCAATAGGCCAAGTTGATAGAATTTAGTCCTCTGAGGGCAACTGATGTGAAACTCCCAAGTGGAGCAGTGTTTGTGATTGCCAACAGTTGTGTGGAAATGAATAAGGCAGCAACTTCTCATTTCAACATCAGGGTGATGGAATGTCGGCTGGCTGCAAAGGTATGGACTTGGCAAATTAGTGAAACTTGAAGTAGGTTTTCTCTTGTTCTTTTTCTCTTTGTTCCCTATTATTTTGTCTCTTTCCCTAAAATTTAGGGCAACATTCTGACAGCAGTAATATTATAACTGAAGTTTTTTTTAGTATAGAGCAATTTGATTTCCAACTCAGGACATACATAAACCTATAGGTATGCCCTGCAACATCTAGCTATTTAGAAGTTACTTGAACTTCACAGTTGAGTCTTCTAGCATGGCACTGGGGAGATGATGACACCTCAACTTATATCTGTGAAACACAGGCCATGGGTTAGGTATATGGGTGGAGAAAGCTAAGTTGGAGACGATTGTTGGGAGATGACCATAACTAATCATGTTTCTTCAACAAAAGTGATAATAGCCTCAATCCTTGGTCCTCTTACATGCACCATTGGCCATCATTGGTCCCTCGAAAAATGCAGGCTTGGTGTCTACTAGAGAAACACAAACCACAAGGTTTGTGTTCTCTGTTCCCCAGTTTATAAGACACTTGCCAGTCAAGTCTCAAATCTACTTAGGAAGTATTTGCTGAATGCCTTTAGTGAGAAATGTTTTACTATTAAACTCTTCTGATCAGTGCATATATGAGAAGTAGTGCAGTTAACCTTTCAGTGTCACAGACTTCAGTGAACTTTATTTTTCCCTTTTTAGGGCAAGCCTCTTCTTTCAGGAGATGGAAGAAATTAGTGTCTTATTTGTTTAAGGGCTTATTCCTGTTGACTTTTTGAGATAGATGAGTAAGTGCTGCCTTCCTGAGGAGACTTCAAACATACACAACATTGTTTTCAGAGTTTTATCATGAAATTAGATATCATCTATGAGATCCATAGGAGAGCCAAAACAAGTACAAGATATGTGAAGTGGGTTCATGTAGTAATGACTCTTTTCCAAAGATATAGAAGAAAAAGAGAAATAAAATTGTGGTGCTGAATCTCTGTAGTGAAAAGTTGTCAGAATGGGATGTGGGGGGATGTCTTTTTGCAGTTAATAGAAAAAGGGCTTCTCCTTTGTAAACGGTAGCTGAAAACCTTAATCCACTGCAGAACCTTCTGTTCCTGAGACTGTCTTCTGAGTTTAACTGTATAACGCCATGTGCATTTTAGAGAGACTTTAGTCAGTGAAACTTGATTTTCTGCCACATACTGCTCCCAACTAATGTAGATGAAACTCATTAAGTACGCTGAATTTTTCTCTCTTTTAAAATGTGGAGGAAAGAAAATTGAAGGGCTTTATCAAGATGCAGAATATTTTGTAAATTATTTTGCTGCAAATCATAAGAATCTAAGATTATATATATGTACAAAAGAGGAATAAAGATAAAATTTATTGCTAATACAGAACACCGCTAATATAAACTATGCAGATAGATCTTGATGTTAAGAATATGCTCATGCCTAGTGAATGTAGACTGGAATTCGACTAAGCATGTTTTCCTTATAATATGGTGCAGTCTTTCCACTTTCAGCAACATATGAATGAGTATAATTTTTATTTGGAAATGGTCTCATTAAATCAGGAAATAAACTCTCATGTTAAAAAAGTAAAGAAGCTTTTCTTAATCTGAGTAAACTTTCTGTTTTCAGACAATAAAAATGAAGGGTCAGTGGAGAAATGATAAATCAAGATAGCTTTGAAAATGAGACTGATTAGGTAGAGCTCCACATGGCAAAACTGTAATTAGTAATGCTTATTTTTTCCCTCCTATTTTCCTAGATTCCTTTTTGAAAAATGAATACCTTTATGTGTCTCCATAGCACAGGAAAGGACACTAAACCAATAAAGATGGTTTTTCTTTGTTTTGCTTTAATGTTCAGAGTTTCTTCTGTTCTTATGTCTTCCTTCTCTCTTTCTGTTCCTCCCTGCTCTTCTTCTAACAGCTTCCCAAAACTAATTAATGCAGATGCACTTAAAGTTAGAGTCTTTAGAGGCATTTCAACTGAAATTTAAAACATTTCAAGGCAAACACAATAGAGATTTATAATTATAACTTGCGTAAATGATTCTTTTAAGTGAAGCACATTTTAATGTTCTTAAATTAACAAAGTAACCAGAAATCTTTAATGAGCAAAAATTTTTTCATATTTTATACATATTCAGTGGCTTAAACTTTTCCAGAAATGCTTTATGTCTATTACAAGAGAGTATCCCTTAATTATATTGAGGGACAAAATGTGTGATGCTGGAAGGAAGGGAAATTATGCTGTTGGCATTTTGCATACCCTGAGCTTCTTGTGGCATCATGTGAAGCAATGAAGAAGGTTTCATGCAGTCCTTTGACACTTCAAGGAAAATTTACAGTGTGACTTTTTTTTCCACAGAGCCTGTTTTGTCAGTGGCCATCACTCATTCAGTAGTTTTTAGCTTCTGCCACTTAGTGGTCAATATGGAGCTTATTCTTCGTGTGGTGAGAAGTGGGTATAATATTTTCAGGGCTTCTGCAGTTTTTTTGGAATCTGAGTGGAGAAAAACCAAACACCCAGGAATGTAGCCAGTTTCACTCGTCCTGTTGATTTAGTCAAACTCACTCTGCCAGGACGCTGGCATGGAGTATTCCCAGGACAGTGAGTCCCGGCCGCTGGGCAGGGCATGCACACACTGGGAATAGGGTCTATGTGTCGGTGGAACCAGGTGTAGCAGGGCCTTCAGTGCCATGCTGAAGATCACCCAGACTTGGTCCTGGAAGCAGTGGGAGCTGCTAATATTAACAACATATTCTAGAGACATTAGGTTGGCCAAGGAACTTTTACTTGGTTGAAGAGAAGTAAGTCTTAAAGTGTCAGTGGGGATGGGATCACAAGAGAGGGATGCAAAAGGAAAGAAGCTCTGACTGGACCTAGTGAAAAGTCAGGTATAAGGCTGTGACTGGGTTTCTGTCTTGCTTTTGGTATAAATGCTATTACTTTGAGGAAGTTTTCCCTGACCACCCTCCCCACTTCCATTAAGTTAAATGTCCTTTTATATGCTCTTGTCACATCCTATATTTTTCCACTATAGCAGTTTATCACATGGAGGAAGTTCTTCACTGTATAATTATTACTTGACATCTGTCTCCTTGGGTTGACTGTGAGCTGCATGCAGTCATGAGCCATGAGTGCTTCATTCACAGGAGCGAACATGCATTGCATGCAGTTGTGTGCAAGTGAAGGCTAAGTGCTGAGTTGAAAAGGGCTGTAGTTTTAAGCTGAAGTGATGGATGGAAAGCATAGTGCTGCAACTCATAGGTATGGGGAACATAGGGTGGAAGGTAGGAAAGTGGGAGGTGATGACACTTGCCTATGTTTTCTTACAAGTGGTTAGAAATTGGAGCTTGGCATGTTTCTCTTGGCTTGGGCAAAACCTTCAGGTATATTTGTTTTGAGATAATAGTTGAGACTAAGGACTGAGTTCAGTTTGCTATACCTAGAATGGAGTTTGGAGAGAAGGTGACAGGATAAAATCAGAAGGCTGGGGGGTTAAACTTGGGAGATATCTTTAGTAATAACAAAATGAGAAAACTGAGTCATGGATGGAAATGTAAGGACCAGAGAGGTGAGAGGGAAGCCGGGAAAATTCAGTGCCACAGGGAGTGTGAAGAAGGTAGGTAGTAAAGAATCCCAGAAGCCACCAATTTATGAAGGAATAAGAGGACTGAGAAATCCGTGGCTTTGGAAGTTCTTTTGGAGATAAGAACCACCTCTCGGAAGCCATCTTCAACAGTGAGAGTGGCCATGGAGGGCTCAGAAGTGGTGACTTGGGTCACTGGTTTTAGTTGGCAGACAGTAAGAGAGAAGAAGAAACAAAGAGCAGCAGCTTTGGTTAGAAGAATTTGATGAGTGGAAATACCTGTATATGTTTGATGGCCTAGGAAAAGGTGTCCTGTGGGGAAGGTATAACCAGAGAGACATTATTTAATCTTTACTGTAGCTTATGAGGTAGCCATTCTGTATCCCATTTTACAATAGTGACTTTCCAGTCAAAGTGGTTTGTGACTTGTTCTAAGTAAATGCAGGGGTCCAGCCTCCTTTTTGCATTGTGCCCCTTAGGGGTTGGGCATGCATGAGCTCCAGAGCACCAGGCTTGAGGATGCCTTAGAAAAAAGATAGACTGTGCTGAGTGTACAGTGAGGATTGTAGCAGAGTCATTCTGCACAGTTTTGCAGATTTCTTCAGACTTATTCTGTGGCCTGCAAACTAATATGGAGAACATGGAGAGTGGGAATAACTAACACTGAAGAAGGTCAACATTGTGAATGTGTTCATGATGGTTACGGACTCAACATGGGCATGGAAGTCACCTGGGGATGGCTCCATATAGCTGGAAGAGGGTGAGGGGAAGATAGCAAAAAAAAAAGTATCCACAATAAAAAGTTATGTATAATCCCATTTATATCAAACTATATGTGTATAGGCATGCATGAAGTATGCATAAAAATGTATCATAGGATGTAAGATGGGAAATTGATGGTTATCTTATTGGGATGATTACAGATGATTTACTTCATCATTTTTTTTAAAAATCCTCCAACTGTTATGTGTTTCTTCAAATTTAAAAACAAGCATGTGTGATTTATAGAACCCAAACCACCAACAACACAGCTGCTTTTGTTGTGTGGAAAATAACTTGTCAGAGAAGGGATTTGAAATTTTATCCTTTGATGACCTAATGAGGAGAAAGACTTGGTACTTTCCCCATTGATTTGTTAATACTGCAAAATGTAATGAGAAAGTCAGAGAGAGGTGGGTTCTTACAGATAGGCTCCTGAGTTAGGGTCTATATGTTAGCACTTTCTACCACACCCTCTTACGGAAGCCCCAGCGAGCCTCCCGGACTGAGGATGTTTTTCAGTTGGAGGAGAGTGCTGATTTTGCATGTGGGACAACCTGTAAGTCTGGGGAGCTAACACCCTTGGAATCAGCCCTCCATCAATGGTAGATGAGAGTTAGGGGATAAATACCTGAGCTTTCTGGTCAGAGTAGGACACATCTGAGCTGGATACATACAGGTCCCAGAGGGCCCAGCAGGCCCAGCCTCACAAACTCCCTCATCATTCATTGCTCTTTGTATCGGCTTCTCTTCCTGTCTTGTTTTCCACTCCTCTGCTAAAACTTCTCTGTGTCATCTTCTCCTCACAAATTCTTGTCTCAGAGCCTGCTTCCAAGAGAAATCAGCCTAAGACAGGGTCTCAGCACTATTTATGTCTCAGCACTCTTTGCATGACTGTGGACAGAATATTCACAGACTGCTTTCTTCTCCACAGAGCATCAGCCAGGCTCAGGAACCTCCCAGGAATGGAATCTGAAATAGTGAAAAGAAAATGGTAGATGCTGGCAAAGAACTGCTTTCTCTGATATCCCCAGCCTGCTGCTGAGTGAGGAACTTGTCACAAAATGACCCCTAGCCCTGCTTCACAAATGTGAAGTAGGGCCAGGCACCCGGGCTGTGAGTGGCAAATTCCTTCATGAAGTTCTGTGTTTGGGCAACAGATCTTACCCACCCACTTCCCTCATCTGCAAGTCATCTTTACGTTTCCTGAGCCAAATTTCAACGGGTTTAGGCGGCTTTCCTGTTTGACTCCTACAATGTAGTAGACTACTCAGGGCCTCCTGGCTGTGCAGCTGTCACTGAGGGCGTGTGGTAGAGTTAATCAAAATACACACTGAGCTGGCTTTGTGGACCCTCCAGCTGAGGGTTAAGTGGGCCCAACAGCAAACTGGGATATTGCTAGTGTCTCTGTCTGTGGAACAAAGGCACACAGAAAGGCAGCCTTTGAAAACAACTTTGCAGACTTTCTCCCCACACAGTCCTGGGACAGTTTCCTGGGACCAAGTGCCTGAAGCAATGTAATTTGTTGAAGTGACACCAGGATTGGGAACTTGGAGATGGCGTGTACTGAAGGGTTCTTAGGAAGAGCCCATTCTCACCACTTAGGGATCTTTCTTTGATTTTTTCCCCCCACATTTCCTTCTTATTTTAGAAGGAACTCATCAAAGTGTCTTTAATCATTGCAATGTTCACTTCTAACACAAATCTTAGTTTGTGTTTAGAAACCATTTCTAAGACTTGAGTGGTGATTTGAACTCATATGAGTAGTGTGACATAGATATCAAGCATAGCCCATTAGGAATGTGACCTTGGGGAAGCAAGAAAGAGGTGCAGGATGTGGGATAAATTCCCAATTCAGTTCTTACTAGCTAGGTGACTTTGGGTAAGTCACTCTCATCTCTTAAATAAGGTAATACCTTTCTCAGAGTTGTCAAAGGTGAAAAGAAGTAAAAATCACATTTAAATCATATGGCATCATACAAGTGTGAATTTCTTAACTTCATTGCTTATCTCAGTTGGATTTGAATCTGTTTTGAGAAAGCATAATTCTAGATCATCCACTTTAGCTCTATTTCTGTATAAAATAAATATGTTGTATGTTTTTCTTTTGTTTTATGTATGTCTATAAGTTTTCTGAAATTATTTTTGGGATACATTGGGTATTCCAAAAATAACCCAGTTGGGACCACGAATGAATGAGTTTAATGAATGAATGAATCCATCTGTGGAGGTGTCAGTCAGTTCAGTACTGCTAAGAAACATTAAATGTGCTAAGCAAACAAGGTCAGAAGAAAGGTCTTAGTTTGTGTCCTTGCTTTTAAAAATGATGCCATGTTCTGTGAAATAATTGAATAGAAACATGTGATTTTATGGTCCCCTTCTCCAGTTCTGCTTTAAAATCATTAACTTCTTTCAAATGTATGAGCCACAGTTTTAAAAAGAGGATTAATGAATATAAGAAACACTGTTATTAACATTCTTCAGAACTGAGTGGCCCTAACCAAAATATAATGGTCTTTTGGTAAATCTGCTTCCTGTCAAAAAGAAAGAAAATCAAATCATCATCATAATAGAAGAGTAAATCAGATGCACATTTCCCTTCTCTTGCTTGCTTCTTTTTGCTGTTTGCATTGTCTGTACCTGTGGTCCTCACACCCTCGGAATGAATTTTATAGACCTCCAGGGTGAGAGATACCTTCATTATCTTGACTGTCACCTGCTCTGCAGGGCTCAGTCAGTGGTTTGAGGAGAATGAAGGACACACATTCTGGAGTGTGGTTCCCATGAGTGGACCTGGCTACAAAAGTTTGGATTATACTCACTTTCCCCAGCGGATTGAGGGGGTGACTCAGGATATAACTGGAAGCCAGACCCTTTTCTTGAGGCTGGAGAAACATAGAGCTGTACTACTACCAACGACCTAATGAAATGGTTTTTCATAAGGTCACCAATGAGGTTTTCATTTAAAATCTGGGACTTGACTCCAAATGCTAGATACTAAAATTCGTTAGCCATTTCAAAGAGGCATGTGGTAAACAGGAAGTTCTCTAATGAAATCAGGCATTCAGTGTCTACCTCAGGACGCAGGTCATGTGTGAGATTTGAGTAGTTTTCTGTAGACTTTATAGAGAGCAGTGTTTGGGGGATGAACTGAATAGGGACCAACTGACAAAATTATTCAAAGAAATAGCTCTGAGGAAAAGTGGTGACAGGCAAAAAAAATCAGTGGGGGATTATTATTATTTTTTTTTTTAGGAAAAATACTTAATTAGCCTGTGAGTGTCACACAAGCATGTTTAATTTCAAACATCTGAACTCAGAGTTCATTTTCAAGCAGTGGTGGGAATTGTGAATAGGTTGAATGGAAAAAAAAAAGCTGAAAGTTGAATTTTGCTCATTAAAATAGTGTATATCAATTTCCAGGATGAAAACTGACCATATGTCTTGGTTTGAATTTGCAGCTCCTGGCTAAGCACAAAAGCTTGCCATGGAAAGAAGTGCTGCGGCTAGAGGAGGTGCAGGCCAAACTGGGGATCAGTCTGGAAGAAATGCTTTTGATCACAGAGGACGCCCTTCATCCTGAACCCTACACCCCTGAGGAGATCTGCAAATGTCTGGGAATTAGCCTGCAGGAACTCAAGACCCAAATTCTCAGTCCAAACACTCAAGATGGTGAGTCTGCTGCAGAAAATAGAGCATGTGTTCTTCCCCCACCCCCAGGTAGAAAGTTTCCGTGCCCCATGGATTTTTACTGGTTTTGAAGCATGCTTGAGGGAATTTGGAAAATGTATGTATTTTGGTAAACTTAATTATCTAGATTCTTGGCTTCATTAAATTCATTCTTACCGATTTGCTATATGCTGGATTTTCTTGTGAGACAAAGGTGAATAACACACACTCTTGCCCTCAAGAAGTTCCCAATTCACCATTGTAATTCTCCTGCTTTAGCCTATGCCAACCACAGAATTATAATGGTCAGGGAAAATTCACTGGAAGCATTGTGCATTTTTTCAAATGTGAGCCCAACTCATTTTAGGGATCAGAAACCAAAGTGATAATCTAATAATATATTAAATGTAAATTTATAGTTTGTTTCGGTATTTTAAAATTTTTGTAGGAAGCATCTTGTGGCACCTAGAAAAAGTTATGTTACCTTTTTCAGTGAATTTCAACAACAAATTATTTCTCACTAGAATTAAATCAGGATCTGAATAACCATGAGAAACATATATAACCCTTGTCATGCAGTTAGTATACCCTGTTTCTAGTTTTGTGATTGCCTGTTTTGAAGATAATGGATATCAGGACATGTAATTCATAGTATTATCCAGTAGAAAGCAAAGAAGAACTAAAGGGCCTCTTGATGAAAGTGAAAGAGGAGAGTGAAAAAGTTGGCTTAAAACTCAACATTCAGAAAACTAAAATTGTGGCATCTGGTCCCATCACTTCATGGCAAATAGATGGGGAAACAGTGAAAACAGAGACTTTATTTTTTGGGCTCCAAAATCACTGCAGATGGTGATTGCTGCCATGAAATTAAAAGTCGCTTGCTCCTTGGGAGGAAAGCTATGACCAACCTAAACAGCATATTAAAAAGCAGAGAGACATTACTTTGCCAACAAAGGTCTGTCTATGGTTTTCCCAGTAGTGATATATGGATGTGAGAATTGGACTACAAAGAAAGCTGAGCACCGAAGAATTGATGCTTTTGAACTGTGGTGTTGGAGAAGATTCTTGAGAGTTCCTTGGACAGCAAGGAGATCCAACCAGTCCATCCTAAAAGAAATCAGTCTTGAATATTCATTGGAAGAACTGATGCTGAAGCTGAAGTTCCAATACTTTGGCCACTAGATGTGAAGAACTGACTCATTTGAAAAGACCCTGATGCTGGGAAAGATTGAAGATGCAAGGAGAAGGGTACGACAAAGGATGAGATGGTTGGATGGTATCACCGACTTGATGGACATGAGTTTGAGTAAGCTCTGGGAGTTGGTGATAGACAGGGAGGCCTGGCGTGCTGCAGTCCATGGGGCTGCAGAGTCCGACATGACTGAACGGCTGAACTGAACAGATCCAGTGAATCTGGTCCTGCTGCTCGACACTTACAAAGGCAATTACGTACTCACAAATGTCGGTAGAAAGATGGCTTTAATTAGAATGCCAGCAATCCTGGGAGATGGTGGACTCAGCATCCCCTGAAAACCACCTCTGAAGATTCTGTTCGGCCATGAAAGCTTTTAAAGGGAAACGAAAGCAATCCCAGTTAATCACTGAGATGGGGTTAGAGTCATTGCCATTCCGCACTGTGTGCAGGCTTGTCGACACCTTGTGATCTCTCTCTAGATGTGATCTTGTTCACACAGTTTGTTCAGGAGGTTACTGAATGGGAAACTAGGGAAGAGATCTGGTCATCTGTTAACTAGTCTTTATTTCTACTTCTTTGACAAAGAAGTGACAAATTAGGCAAGATTTTGTGTGATTAAAAGATTTGCAAGATGTCCTTGGGTTGGAGATGAATAGAGCATGGGGTGCCTGGTTTAAAAGTTTGTTATAACATAGCTTTCCTGAAGTGACGAGAGCAGGGGATTCCTCTTGAGGGTGGTCTTCTGTAAAGAGCTGCTTGCAAATCCCTGCTTGTCAGAACATCATTCCATTTCTACGATATTAGGGGTGAAGGTCTTTCTTCTGTAACTTTTTCATGCTGACACAGGATGCCTTATTCTACAGAGTAGACATTGTCACCATGGGTTTGTAGCATATCTTTGCAGACAATTTTAATTATCCATTAACATATATAGGCCAAGAGAGCTACAATTATTTTGATGCTCACAAAGATATAGATTATTATGAGCAATAATGGTAATCCCATTCTCTTGAGAAGAGTTCTTGGAATTGTGCTAGCCATAGATTCAGTACTGCTTAAGTTTATGTCATGGCTACAATTTGGTCATCATGCAGTTAGCTTTTTTCTCTAGTGGAAGTTATAGATAGTATCTATAGAGCAACTCAGGAAAGTGCATCAGACACTGAGTCTGTGATTCTATTGCCCTAATGATTAACCATTTGTTTTTTTAAATTTAATTTAATTTAATTTTATTTTTTTTATTAGTTGGAGGCTAATTACTTTACAATATTGTAGTGGTTTTTGTCATACATTGACATGAATCAGCCATGGATTTACATGTATTCCCCATCCTGATCCCCCCTCCCACCTCCCTCTCCACCTGATCCCTCTGGGTCTTCCCAGTGTACCAGGTCCGAGCACTTGTCTCATGCATCCAACCTGGGCTGGTGATCTGTTTCACCCTAGATAATATACATGTTTCGATGCTGTTCTCTTGAAACATCCCACCCTTGCCTTCTCCCAAGAGTCCAAAAGTCTGTTCTATACATCTGTGTCTCTTTTTCTGTTTTGCATATAGGGTTATCGTTTCCATCTTTCTAAATTCCATATATATGTGTTAGTATACTGTAATGGTCTTTATCTTTCTGGCTTACTTCATTCTGTATAATGGGCTCCAGTTTCATCCATCTCATTAGAACTGATTCAAATGAATTCTTTTTAATGGCTGAGTAATATTCCATGGTGTATATGTACCACAGCTTCCTTATCCATTCGTCTGCTGATGGGCATTTAGGTTGCTTCCATGTCCTGGCTATGATACACAGTGCTGCGATGAACATTGGGGTGCATGTGTCTCTTTCAGATCTTAACCACTTGTTTTTGTACTAAGGGGCAGGGGGAGGAGGCTACTGAAGGGTTCTGCTCAATTCCAATAGGATGTTAAAATATTGTGAAATCTAAAGCAATACTGGTTCAGCAAATCAAATGGTTCCTTTTTTTTTAAAGTAATTTTTAATTGGACTATATACTTGATTTACAGTGTTGTTAGTTTCTGCTGTATATCAAAATGAATCAACCAAGCATATATATGTATCCACTCTCTTCTAGACTCCATTCCCATATAGTACATTACAGAGCACTGAGAGTACACTGTGCTATACAGTAAGTTTTTATTAGCTATCTTTTACATACAGTAGTCTGTATATGTCAATTGAAATGGCTCTTTTGTATGGTGCCGTTTTTGTCATTGAGCTGAAGTGAAAAAAAAAGAAAGAAATTCACAATTCAGTAAGCATCTCTTTTTTCTTATCCTTTCTTTTTTCATACTCATTTTTCTGATTATCATACTTCTTATATAAAATGATTTAGGTTAGAGCAGAGCTCATGACTGCTGTGGAACCACATTCTGAAACACCAGGGAGTCTTCACAGCTTAGGTTGACACGTGTGGCTCACTTAAGCATGGAGGCTTTTTCTGTTTGTCTACTGGTTTTATACTATTAACATAAAAAACCTGAGACAGAAGCCAGGCAAATGTTGGAGCTAGAGCCTTGGAGTGGCTTCTAAGAAGTAAAGGTTGTCTATTTGTGAGACATCAGTGGTGGGAGCTGGGACATCTAGCTAAGATCCAGTAGCCTCTTTGTGAGGTAAAGTTGGGGATGAGAACTTAGCGGAAAGATCAGGGCCCCACATCCACCCCATTCACTTCAGTTCTGCAACTGGGTTTTGACTGCCTACAGTGGATTTGCCTACTAACGGCAGGCAATTGCTACAATTGCTGGCAGCTATAGGATAAGATAAGGAAATCTTTTGAGGGCAGGGATAAGGTTTTGGTTCTCAACACTGTTAGATCCAATTTAATTTGATGAATATTTGTTGAATTTCTAGATGAACAAATTGGCCTATAGACTTCATCAGACTTGCCACCTGTTTTTTTAAAAAATAAAATCTTCCTGGAATACAGCCATGTATATGGGCTATGGCTGCTTTTGCACTGCAATGACAGATTTAAGTAGTTGTGACAGAGTCTAAATGGCCCACAAAATCTAAAATATTTACCAACTGGCCCTTGGCAGATAAAGTTTGCTGACACCACTCCAGAAAGGCAGTAGACCAAAGGGTAGCCATAAGGCCTGGATTAAGATCTCAGACTTTTGCTTTGTTTTTTTTTTTTTTTTCCAGACTTCTTTATTTACTAGATTTGGGACCTGATTTGAAAGTTTTTAATCTTTCTGTTATCTTGGTTTTTCCATGAAATAGGCATAATAGAGAGAGGTACTTAAAGAAGTAATTGGTGTGATGTGCTAGGAACAATGCTTGGTAATGGAGGTTCACATAAACATCAGCTACTTCTACTGTTTCTCTTCCCTCTCCTGCTTCCCCAACTCTAGGCCCTGAGGCTGAGCATCGGGAACACAGAAATAAACACAACAGGGTTTGATACTTAAGGAGTTTACAAAATAGTGGTGCAAACAAATAAAGAAAAAACTGACCCAGCAGGAAGTAATAAGTGCAGTGAGGGAGGTGTTCTTGGGTCTAGGAAGACCAGAAAAGAAAGAAGTCAGAGCTGGCTTTACGAAGGAGACAGCAACCAGACAAAAGTTAGAGAATAAATAGAAATTTCCTAGGTAGACAGGCAGAAAAACTTCCAGGCAGAGAGGAGTAAGAGAGGAATCCAGAGAACTACAGACAATTGAATGTTTTCTGAAAATAATGGTGAGTGATATATATCAGGTTGATTTTGTAGATAGGCCATCATCAACACTTTGTTAAATACTGTGTGCAAGTGTTTTATGGATAATGGGGAAATTCATAAAATGTTTGTTGAA